TATTTCACCTGAAATATGGTTTACTGCTCATGGAAACTAAGAATCTTTCCATATAGCTTATTTTGTATAAATCGTATATATTATATACATTGTTGGTTGCATATATAGTTTTCCTATCCATTTTTCTATTAGATAAGCTTCTTACTCTTTTACTTTTTGTATGTTTAAGAAACTGTCACCTTGTTTTGCCATCTATCCTTTGACCTTGTGTATAGTCTTATTAATTATGCCACACAGAATATGTCAGTTTTAAGTACTTAGGTATATGAGCTTCCTTCCCACATTAGTTTGAATTTTGTGTTGTGAATTAAAAGACTTTCCTGTTTTGGTAATTTTTTTTCTTTTTAATTAAACTCTCCTGTTTGGAAACAGAGTGTCATAGAACATTGTTGAAAGAAGTTGGTCTATCTAGTACTTCTTTCTGAATTGATAGCCTCAGTTATCTTGGAAGGGCTAAGAAAGGCGTTTGGATTAGAATCCCAAGTATCCTGGACCATCCTTGAAGGATGAGAAAAAAGAAATTGAAAGCAAGACAGAGTTGTTAATCTGCCACTGAATGAACTGTCTTCTCACTGAATGAGCCGTCTGCTAAGTGAACTTTTTCTTTTCCTTCTGTAAACAATATTGAATGGTTGCTGCCCGATCCCAACATTAACTGTTATAGCTCAGGAATTTGTGTGGCAGGAAAATGTGAACAAAACATGAGTCTGGATAACATTTTGGTTCTCTTTTGGAGCACACAGCTTATACCCAAACACCACATCCAGATATATTTGACAGGTCCTTGTGGATGGGGACCAGGCTGTCCCGTGAGTTGAGAATTGCAGAGAGAAAATTAGAAGAAACAATGCTGCTTAACTTGGTCCATCCCTTTAGAGGAACTGGTTCCTTATCAGGAGGACAGGCAGTGGCTGCTTTTGCTGTTCCTGTATTCACCAACATGACCCCTCACTCATTCTGAAGTTCCTACAGGGGCTCTCTTTGCCAGAAGCATAGCTTATTTGCAATTTTGGGTTTGTGTGGAGATGGAATTGGAAACAGAGCAGATGGAGGCTGAGGTTCGCCACTCCGTTGAGTGTTGTGCTTTGCTGGATGAAAACCAGTCAGAGGAGTCTACCATGTTCTTCACTGAGGCACCTCATCTCATGTCTTCCTTTTCCAACAGCCACTTTTGGTTCATCCACTAAGGCAGTGTCAAGCTGATAAAGTGTTTGGAAACTAGTGATTCAACATCATGGCGTAGAGAGGCAGCTCTCTCATCCTTCTTGGTGAAGATGACTTTGACTTGATAACTTGACTTTGCTATTTAACTTCTGGACATATATTTTAGTCCACTTGTGCTGCTAAAACATCATAAGTTTATTTCTCACCATTCAGGAGTCTGGGAAGTCCGTGATCATGTTGACAAAGGATTTGGTCTCTGGTGGGGGCATGTTTCAAGGTTCATAGATGGTTGTCTTCATTCTGTGTCCTCACATGGCAGAAGTGGCAAGGGGGTTCTCTGAATATGCTTTTATAAGGACACTAATTCTGCTACAGAGGGCTCTGCTTTCATGACCTGTTCACCCCCACCAAAGGCCCCACTTCCAGATATCCTCACATTAGGAATTAAATTTCAACATATAAGTCTATGGGGCTAAGCTGTACACATCTCCTGTGCAACTCTTATAACTTTATCCTGACTGAGGTAGGAGGCTCTAGAGGTGAAGTCATGGTGGTCCAGCAATCTAGCCAATTCCAGGATATTCTGCTGTTTTCAGCAGTCATCACAGAGAGAGAAGGGAATACTTAGCTTGAGTCCAACCTCTTTGAATGTACTTCTAACAACATTCCATCTAGTGTAAGGGTGGATCATTCGGGGCATGATTGATCTTGTCTCAAGAGGGCTTGTGCTTTAATAGTGAGAACTCAAGCTGTTTCCTAACCATTTTCTGTGCGAAACAATGACCATTGGACTGTTCATTCTGGAGAAACAATGGTTAAGTCTTGAGGAAGCTACTGAAAAAGAATTCCATTCTTCCTTCCATTTCTTAGGAGCCTGCTTTTTTAATGACTTTTCCAAAGTCCAGCATTTTGCCATGAAAAACCTATAGACATTTGATATTCCATGTTTAGTTTTATTTTGTATTATTTGTTTCCATTTCATTTGAAAGGCAGAGATATAGAAAGAGACAGAGACAGATAAAGAGAGATCTGCCATCTGCTGACTCATTCTCTAAATGCCCACAACAGCTGGACCAGGCTTAGCTAGGAGCTTGGAACTCCATCCAAGTCTCCCACATGGGTGGCAGGGACCCAAGTACTTGAGCCATCATCTGCTGCCTCCCAGGGTGTGCATTAGCAAGAAACTGAACTGGAAGCAATGGAGCCAGGAGTCAAACAAGGCACTCCCATATCTGGAATGCAAATATCCTAAGTGGCATCTTAACCACTGCATCAAATACCCACCTCAAAATAATAAAGATAATCAAAATAGGGAATCCAAAGTATAGCTATACCCTTCAAATTATTATTATTTCATCAAAGCAACAGATATTCATTTACCCTTACTATTTGCCAAGCCTTATGCTCCACGTTGTAAATGTATCTGAGAATAATAATAATCAGTATATTTAACAAATATTGAGTTCATACTACCCATAAAACACTATGCTAAGTGCTCTATGTGAATCAGCTCATATAATTCTCAAATCAATCTTGTAATTAAGTGCTCTTCTAATCATCGAATGAAGATGAAGAAAATGAGAGTTAGAGAGGTTGAATAACTTGCCCAGGAGCACAGTACTAATAAAGTTGAAGCTGGGATAAAAGTTTACTGAACCTTCCACTTTTTAATTATTTACTGTTGTTTCTACTTGATGCAGAAACAAGTCCATGCCTTCAAGGAGCTTATAGTCTGAGTTAAAGAACACTTCCACAGGTAATCAGGAGAAATGGGAAGGGTCTTCCAGGGGAGCCTTCCTGCCTTTCACTAGGTTTTAGGGTGGTCTCACCTACTTAGCCTTTTCCCTTTCATTTTCATGTTTCCCATCTCCCATGTCCTCCTATGTCCACCGTGCAGCAATCTTTGCTTTAGCCTTCTGCTCCTCTCTTTCTTCCCTGAGTTTTCTCCCTTATTCATCTGTTTATTCTTTCTTTCTCCCATCTAGTTTATTACTGGAGGCCCTAAATACCATGCAATGCAGTTTTGAAGGCAAACATAAAAAGGAGGGATACATTCACTGTAAATGAAATGAGCTGTTGATAGATGGCTTTGCAAGCTTATGAGCCCTTCTTTAGCATTCTCTGGCATTTAAGGGACTCAGCATTCCAAAAGCACATCCACTCCATTCTGCTGTTGCTAATCTCATTTTTTCCATGATTAACAACCCAGTTCATTATGTTTTCAGCTCACATTAATCATCTCTTCTGTGAGTTTGGTAACATTTGGAGTCATTTCCCTCTGTATTTATCCATCTGGGATCTTTATAAAAGATAAGTTTGCAGAAAGTCATTTGTTGTTCATGCAGAAATTCATTTGATGCTCACTGCTATGCAAGAAGTGAATGTTCTCCTTGTTTCTCAGATCCTGTGGGGGAATCTTCTAAAATCAGGCATGGATTCCCTTCCCAATGCAGAAGGCCTCCTCAATCGAGCCCCATGGGGCACTTAACTTGGAGCAAGATTCACAGCACAAAGGATTAGGCTGCAACACAACAGCATTAGAAATCACAAGCAATGCTGGCTGGTTCCTGTCTATCCTCAAGGAGCAGATGGGTTGGGAAGAGAGCTGTGGGGGTAGCGGAATGGGTTGTGAGATTAATGAGTCAGAACAAAGGCCTTGGCTTTAGTCCTGTCCCTACACCTACAAACTATTTGACCTTGGGCAAGACACATAATCCCTCTGAAATCCACTAGTCTCCTCTATGAATTGGTTTCATCTATAACACCTCATCTTTCTAAATTGGAGAATAGTTTTTAGGGTTAACTTAATACTTTCATCTCCTCTCTATGCTGTTGAGTAAGCTTTATAACCTTCATCATATCACTTTAGTTTGCAATTTCTGTGGTCTCTTCCAACACTAGCAGTAGCTATATATATATATATATATATATATATTTATATAGTAACTACATAAAAAGTAACTACATATATATATATGTGTGTAGTAACTATATCATATAAATATATATAGTAACTATATATATTATATATATATATAATCTGTCAGGGAAATCTTACAGGCTAATTTCTTAATTCTCTTTTTATATTAAAAAAACTGTATATATGTGTGTCATATTTGTTTGCAGATCTAGTGGGAGGGGATATATGCTGTTTAGAAAACACAGAGAGAATCCATGGAAGTTTAGATAAAAGCATCCTCAGGAGTACATTGTAATCTTAGAATGTCAAAAGAGAAGCAACTCTTCTGAAGGTCCTTGCTTGTCCACCCCAGCAGCATTTTGTTATGAATGTTGGAATGCATTCACTCATTTTCTCATTGGAGTAAGATGTTTCTTTAGTGACAATATTCCACATTGGGCACTTGTTCCAAAGGATGGCAGATATTCTTGTTAATGATCATTAACCATAAAATATTAGAATTATTTCTCATTTCTGCCCAAGTTCCAGGGCTAAATTGCATTAATGAAACTGTTGTTGTACGAAGGGTGAAAGACATCATTAAATGTTTTTGTTGTAGAATGTTGAGAGGGTCCAGGCTATGGAGAGGAATGGTAGAGATGAAAGAAACTGGGACTGTTTGCTCTAATTTTGCTCAACCTGAAACAAGGAGGTAGAATTCGGAAATGTTGTCATTTACTGCTAGTCCTCTCTCCCAGCACCGGGGATTTGCACAGGAGACTCCCGTTAGGCACATAAGTCCCAGTGGTGCTAATGGAAATTACCTGCATAACTACCCTTCCTGCCTACCTAGGATGCCAGACGCCTGAGCACTCTTTTAATTGCCATGCACCTCCCTTTGCAAAGAACTAATTGCATCTGCTTCCCTTTCCTTTAGGTGTTCAAGCAAGGACAGGAATAATGAAGAGTCGGATGTATTAGCTGCAGCCTTTTGAACCACAGAAGAAGGAAGTCAACAGTGTGGACAGGGTTGGAAGCATTGCCACACTTGTTGGAATAAATGAGGAATGGGCTTGTGATTATGCTGACATTCCAGCATGAATCTGGTAGACCTGTGGTTAACTCGCTCCCTCTCCATGTGTCTCCTCCTACAAAGTTTTGTTCTTATGATACTGTGCTTTCATTCTGCCAGTATGTGTCCCAAGGGCTGTCTTTGTTCTTCCTCTGGGGGTTTAAATGTCACCTGTAGCAATGCAAATCTCAAGGAAATACCCAGAGATCTTCCTCCTGAGACGGTCTTATTGTATCTGGACTCCAATCAGATCACATCTATACCCAATGAGATTTTCAAGGACCTTCATCAACTGAGAGTTCTCAACCTGTCCAAAAATGGCATTGAATTTATTGATGAGCATGCCTTCAAAGGAGTTGCTGAAACTTTGCAGAGTCTGGACTTGTCCGACAATAGGATTCAAAGCGTGCACAAAAATGCCTTCAACAACCTGAAGGCCAGGGCCAGAATTGCCAACAATCCCTGGCACTGTGACTGTACGCTACAGCAAGTTCTGAGGAGCATGGCCTCCAATCACGAGACAGCCCACAATGTGATCTGTAAGACCTCTGTGTTGGATGAGCATGCTGGAAGACCATTCCTCAATGCTGCCAATGATGCTGACCTTTGTAACCTCCCTAAAAAAACTACTGATTATGCCATGCTGGTCACCATGTTTGGCTGGTTCACCATGGTTATTTCATATGTGGTATATTATGTCAGGCAAAACCAGGAGGATGCACGGAGACACCTTGAATACTTGAAATCCCTGCCAAGCAGGCAAAAGAAAGCAGACGAACCTGATGACATTAGCACTGTGGTATAGTGTCCAAACTGACTGGCACTGAGAAGAAAGTAGTTTGCAATTTCAGTAGAATAAGTGGTTTACTTCTTCCATCTGTTGTAAACATTAAAAACTTTGTATTTTGGTTTCTTTTGAATTATGCCAATGTTGGACTTTTAACAAACACTACAACATAAAAGTTCTTTTAGTTTAGATGGTCCACCCCTTTAATTGTACCCCTGGTGGTATATTCTTAAGTAAGCTGCTGTCTGAACATTAGTTAGATTCATCTCACTATTTAATAATGAAATTTATTTTTTTAATTTAAAACCAAATAAAAGCTTAACTTTGAACCACGGAAAACAGAGTGAATTATTGGTCAAGAAAACAGTTCAGTGATTCCACTTGCTCTAAAGAAAAACAGATAACCCTTGTGAAGCTAAAGAACAATTGTAATGAAAGATGTGTTATTAAGTGCTACTATGCTCTGGGAAGTCATAGCTGAACCACTAACCAAGTTTAGTATCTGTCAGACTTTAAAGCAGTGAGCCTTAGCAAACTCAGGTGTTTACATACAAATGTGGCATCTGAGGAAGTTTAAGATGGGACATTTGTTCTTCAAAACGAGCCTTTCTCAGCCATAAAGACCAAATATTTATTGTGCTTTATTCAATGCTGGACACAATTAAACAGAAAGATAGCACACATATTCTATCCTCAAGACTATCTTTTTGATGGACAGGGAGGTGTGACAAATACAGAAATAGCTATACTGGAAGGAAAAGCCTTAATCATGCAACATCAATTTTGTGAAAGCACTGAGTGAAGCATTTTTATCTTATCATTTTCTCTAAACCCTTATTGCGCAAAACAACCGTATTTACATAGGTGAAACTGCAAGTGAGAGATTTAAGGATTTGCCAGGTAGAAACTAGCATCTTTCTGCCTCCAAAGACTGAGTTCTTCTCATTTTGTTCATATTGAATTGGCTTCTAGAGGTGTAATTTACATGTTTAAAATGTGCCCACACTAAGTGTATAGTTATCTGACTTTTGAAAAATGTGAATCTAGCACATAATCAAAATACTGTGTTCTGTCACTAGTCAGGGGGAGGAAAAAACACTTTTGGTTCTTGGAGTACAAAATTGTGAGTTTGGGTCATTTTCAAGTGCCATTACAGATCATGTTTGAGACTTGGCTGTCACCCAGTGAGGTGATGATGTAGGCAAAGAAGAGAGGAGAGAGAAAGATTAAGATGTAAGAAGGTATTTTGGGTTGAGAGCCTCTGTGTAGAGGAGAGACAGTTTGGAGCTATTTGATAGGTATCTCAATTTCAGAATGAGGAATAAACAGTATTATTTTATCAAGTAACATTTATGAAACATATACTATGCAACTAGTACTTTCTTGGATTTTCTTAGTTAATACTTAGAACCACCCAATGAGATTATCTTTTGTGGATCAGGAACAAGAGACTCGGGAATTAAGTAAGTAATTCAGGATGCTAGAGCTTACAACAGGTATAGCAGGTTTTGAAATCCAGTTGGTCAACTCCCTTTGTACCTCTTCACCACTAAACTGCACTGCCTCATGGTTATAAATTTTCCTCTCCATAAAGTTGCTGGTTCCCCAGATCTGTAGACTTTGAGACTCCATGTCTTCATTAAAAAATAGTAGCAGAAATAGCTCTTTGTAAAGCTTATGCCGAAAAGAGGGAACCTCTGCTGTTTTGAGGTATATAGCTTCTCCAACCCTTATGTATCCTTGGTCCTCCAATAACATTTCTTCCCTTGGAAAGTCCTAGAATCCTTGTCTGTGGCAATGATCTCTTTAAAGCTATACTAGAGAAGACCAGGGTCAGCCAACCCAAGACCTGGGCATGGCATGACACTCAGAATTCAAGCTGGGCTCAGCTCCCAGCAGACACTGCAAGACTTGGGTTTTTCGGGTCCATGTAAAGCGTACTGCAAAGTGTAAGGTCTAGTCTGGAAGGCTAAGATAACTTCTAAATGCGAAATTCAGGATATGGGCCTACAGCTGCTGAATTCTGGTGAAAGTTGAGCTGTGTGCTGTTACTAACTGGATTTGAGTACCTTCCAGGGAAATTGGAGGTTTGCTGGAGATTTAACGCCCCCTAGAGGAAAACATTATAATATATCTTTGCAAGTGCTACCATGAAAAGATGCCTAACTGAACTGAATACACATGTTTTTGCCTGAAGATTAGGAAAATCAAGCCTTTACTAAAACAACTCTTTAGAAGGTGAATCAACTGTATTTATTTGAGTGGTAGGGTGCATTCAGTTTATAGAAGTCTTCACAAATCTGATAATCCATTCTGGGTTGCTCCTTCCAAAATAATTATTATATCCATATTGATAAGAGCTTGTTTTCCTAGCCAATTGCACTGGTTACGTGAAACTGTGAGTAAAGTAAAACCTCTAAGGAGCGTTAAGTATACTCACATACTTGTTCAGAAGCAGGAAAGTTAAATTCCTACGTATTTAGTTGATAATTCACCCTACACATAGAGCTGAGAGTTGTGTCATAGGTTGGTAAAAATTCCACTGCCTGAATCCTATATGGAAATTATCAGTTAAAAGTATCACCAGGGCTTTAAAAAAAAGCAGACAAATTAAATGTAGGCCTTGGAAGAGAAAATAAACTCTCAAAAAATATTTATATAGGAGACTATTGGGTCTATTTGTGACCATATATGAAAATAAAATGCTCTTTGTGTCAGCTTGTAGGGTTGTCTTGCCCTACCAGGCTAGCAGTGTATGGTGCCAATAAGTAGAAAGAACTTACTGAGATTCACGTCTGTAGAGAAAAATGTGACACAGATACACTCTAGTTTTTTAAAAAAAATTATTTATTTGAAAAGCATAGTCAGAGAGAGATAGAGACAGAGAGGGAGGAGAGAGAGAGAAAGAGAGAGAGAACAGAGAGATATTTCATTTACTGGTTCAGTCCCCCAAATGATTGCAACAGACATGTCTGGACCAAGCCAAAGACAGGTATCAGGAACTACATCCTGACCTCTCTGAGCCCAAGCACCCAGGTCATCCTCTGCTGCTTCTCCAGGTGCATTTGCAGGGAGCTGGATCAGCAGTGGAACAACCAGGACTCTGAGCTAGCACTCTGATATGGGGTGCAGGCATTGCTAGTGGCAGCAAAACCCACTGCAACACGATGTTCTAGCTTTGCTAACAGCTTACTTCCTAATTTTCCACACCTTGATATATGATTCTACTCATGGATATCTATGCATTTAGGACTGTATCATTTTTGGAATTAACTATTGTCTCATTATCTGAGGCATACCTGCCTCCTAAATAATTTAAATAACAGAGTCTTTTCTCAACCTTCTCTTTTGGGATCCGTCTCATAAGTTCAAGCTCTTAAATTCAAAAAATATCTGGGAATTTTAGTCTAATCTTTGACAATGTGTTTATCTCTGAGGATAGGCAAATCATAAAACATACAAGCCAACGAGAATGTTTTTTAGAAAGTGCTAAAAATTATGTAATGGAAGATTTAATTTTCAAGCACATTTTGGCAAACTGCAATGCACTGATATGCAAAAGCTGCCAGGTATGTCTTGTTCCTTCTTAGATCCTTCTCTGATTCCCCGCAATCATTCTCATTCTGACATCAGCAAGCATAGAACAGTCTGGGATGTCAGATAGGTTTTCCTTTGTGGCTCACGACTTTCAATTCATATAGTAAGTTCTCCCAAATATTTGGCAGAGTTGAGGAGTGGAAAATTCTGCTCAATTAAATGTTCAGTTTACTAGAGATAAGTGAACTCCTAGAATTTCAGGGCTGGAAAAGTCCTAAGAATGATCTCACCCATCTATTTCGCAAGTGTTGACATTGAAATCCTTGCAGGTTTGTGGATTAGCGCTGTTTTGTCCATCTTCCAAACCCAGTTTTTCTTCCTAGACATCAATTTCCTCTCCTGGAAAACTGTTTCCCAATTGCCAATGAAGTAAAAAACCTAATAATACACAAGCACCCTATGACAATACCACAGGATATCAGTAAATGTGAGTATTCATAATGTATATAAGGCTCCTACTTTGCCACACATTCATAAATTTAAAAATCTGTGATTCATTAAACATTCTTATTTCTCCAAATATAATTAAGGGGTCTGTTTGTCTTTACAAATAGCCCCTAGATGTCTCAACACCAGGAAAAAGAAGGAGACATGATCCTGGTGTAACTTCTAGAGAAGGAGAGGGTCGATTAACATTTGTTTCCTTAAGTGGCAGCATAACCGTTTGAGGTTACATGTATCTCTACTGCCCTTAAATGCTGTCTTTCTCCATTTCTAGAGCTCTTGTCATCCTGGCTTCCCTAAGTCATATCAATAATTCATTAATTTGCTGAGTCTGACCCAGACAAACCAAACCAGAGGCAAACTCAGCTACTATGTGTTTGTAAAGGCGTTCCTCAACTCTTTTCAGATCCAAATAGCTGAATCAGAATAGATGGAAAAGGATTCTTCAGCTGCATTTGCACACACTGTTGACATGTGTGGTCACAAACACAACAAATAGCATAGTGGGTCACGCAGATCCCACCAAGGACACTCCTTGAGGTCAAAGATCCACAGAACTTCTGTCATATGAATGTCTAGACAGCTATGGAAGTAAATGGATTATTCTTTTTGAAAGCAGTGATCAAGATGCATAACATTTCCAACCCAGGAAAAATTATGCCCTTGAGGCCACAAGGTGGATGTAAAGTGCGATGATTTAATGAACTATTGTATGTCACTTAAGGAGTTCCACATGCATGTATACCCATGTGAACCTTGGGGTTAAATAGGGAATTAGATCCTGAAAATATTAAGACAAGAAATCATGGAAACAGAAAGCAAAGTGTACCTCAGTCAGTTGGCTTAGGGATAGCCTGTGTTTCAGGTTCTTGGAGAAATTATTGGAGATATTTCTAAGGCTGTCCCAAGTTCAGCAAAAACATTTACACTTTTTATTAAAGAAAATGGAGACCAACTTCACGACCTATGTTCCTTCTTTGGCTGCCAAATGTTATGCATCTTGATCACTGCTTTCAAAAAGAATAATCCATTTACTTCCATAGCTGTCTAGAGATTCATATGACGGAAGTTCTGTGGATCTGGCCTTAAAAACTTGGCTTGAAATGAATATATTGTGAGTCTCTCTGAGGTTATGACCATAATCCCATGTTATTTTCCTTATTTAATTTTCTTTTAATTTTCTTTTAGAGAAGAATTTGTAAAATAGAAGGCAATCTGTAATCTGACTGTTGGCCTAAGGACTGACAAACTATCTTTTGCGCTAATGTCATTGATTATTGAATAGGTA